CACTTCTCAATCATGCTTACTCATTTCTTCACTTCAGTAGCCATTGTTCAGTATCTCTTCTCAACAGGAGCTATCTGCTGAGCCCGTGCAATAGTCCACCATCTCAAATCGTCGAATTGTCTGCTTTGCGGTTGGGGACGGTTTGCTACATATATGCGATGTCATGGCTGAAGGTATCGGCGCCTGTCATCAAAAGTGACGAGAGTGGGGTAGTTATGCTGCACTCTTGACCTCGGTAACGTCTGAGGCGTTAATTGCTCATTCGAAGCCTGTGCGTCCTCCTGCATGTCGCGAAAGGTCATTCGAATCCGATTTTTGGGGCTTTCACCTGTTCAGCAGGTAAAACCTCGATCCGACCGAGGTAGGGCTTATCTCCAGCAAATAGTTATATAGTCGGGCAAGTAAGACGTTATCTTATAACTCATGGAGAGGTTTGTCATCTAGGATTACCGACAAAGACAAGGGAGACTGGAATGGCCATTTCTGGCTCATTAGCTGTCGTCAGCCGGTCGTACCCAACCTCGAAGTGTGTCACACATGCAGCTCGATCCCGCGACCTCTAACAACTGAGCCACGGGCTCGTTGTCCCATTGGTTGAGATCGGGAATATACAATGGTAGAGGGGGGGGGGGCTCACCGTCTCTTCGCTTCTACTGGCTCACTCATCGTTTTTACGGAACCCACTCGTCTGGTCTATCACCCGCGTAGCATCTAAATGCTTTGTTGTACTGTTTTGTTTTCATTCAATGCTCCACGCTTTCTAAAGTCCAGTGTACCGTGCAGGGGCCGTGTCGTGTGTGGTACGCGTAGACCGGCTACTCAACGCATTCAGCTACCTGCATCCAATTACAGCATCAGACCGTGGCCCGTTCGGACAGCCGAATGAAGCATAAGATACGGAAGAGGGGGTGAGGTCGGCGCCGTGAAATTTATTCCCACGGCACTTCAGCGCATTTCTCACCATAATCAATTCGCCCCCCTTGAAGCTAACACGACGTGTTTAAATTCGCGGCATGGAAGGCCACCAACTAGCGGGATTACTTCGTCCGCTCAGGCCTGGAAGCCACGCCCGATGGCTTTTTCTCCTGATACTTTAACTTAGTTTTCGGTTTGTGGGATGGCCTGGTTTTTAGCATTTGTTAGAGGCCTAATGTTCTACCTGTTCCGCTGTTTTGTCCAATAGGTCGCTCTCTATTTCTGAATGCTATGTCTCTGGCAGCCCCCTCTGCCGGCCAGTCCTCGGATCCGGACCCTGTAGCCACCGCTGACAACCACACCGCGGTTCATCCGAACAGTGGCGCTGGCGGCAATGATGGTGGCGGCGTTTGCACGGAGCCTTGGAAACGAGGGAATCTTGATCAGCAGCCGCGGATGTCTTCATCTGGACGCTTCAAAGTCACGGCGAAGCGTCGCTGCCCATCTCCATCGTCCACCGCCACCAACATTGGCAGTGGCGCAACCGATCGACAGGACTCCTCCCATCCACATCGCGTGAAACAACGCGTCCGTGTGCGGGGACGTCGGCGTGTTTACACAGGCGGCTCTTCGGGAAGTAATAGTAGCAGCAGTAGCAGTGAGTCCGTCTCATCTGACGAGGAGGACGACGATCTCTGGACACCAAGCGGTGTCTCGCGGCGTAGCACCACCCGAAGACCCTCTTCTCGTGGTGGCAGTCGATTTTCCAGATGAGGTCATACTTGAACTCTTCCCCCCCCCTACTCCTGTCTCACTGTCAATCTATCTCCCTCATGCTCGCTATATCCATCTGTACAGCGTTGTTTTTTAAAAAAAGAGTATCATGTGTTTCTATTAAAGTGCTTCCTTGATATTGTACCTAAGAACATTTCGCTGGTTGTGGCACGTGAGATTTATCGGCCGGTGTTAGAGGTCTTAATTTTTGTTAAGTTGTCACTACCTAAGATGCGGACATTACATTTTAGGTTGCCGCTTCCGACTAAACTTAGTAGCTCTTCATCAGGCCAAAACGGTTACAATGAAGTTTAAGTTATGCGAATTACATGACTTATAAATGATTCGGGACAATTAACATCGATCGTTCCCACGCCACTCGCATGACGAGGCGTGGTCGGCGTGTCGTGGTCACTGGGTTCAAGGGGCGAGTTCTATTCTCGCACATCTTGTCGATACGACTCACCGAGTCGATGCCAAAGAGGCCTTTCAGATTGTCTACCGGACACCAGCAGGCTTCTCCAAAGGCCTACGCCAACGGATGCCAGCTGCAGCTGAGGCAGTGGCTATACGGCTAGCCAATCCAGTGCTATGCTGTCAGAAGACTCTGACACAGGCGCTCTGTCTTCCGTGACCGACGCCGACCCCAACGTCGCCCCAACCTCCTGATGCCAGGGTGTGCGCACAAGGTACTCGCCGTACTCACAGCCTATGCCCCCCCTCTTCCTCGCCCCTTGAACCCAATGACCACGACACGGCGACCACGCCTCGTCATGCGAGTGGCGTGGGAACAATCGATGTTAATTGTCCCCGAATCATTTATAAGTCATGTAATTCGCATAACTTAAACTTCATTGTAACCGTTTTGGCCTGATGAAGCGTTACTGAAAACACGTGTTCGCCACTTTGACTTTTCAATTGTAACATGGGAATATTCGCTGAACTTAAACTTAGTAGATCGTCAATATAAAGAGGAGTTAGGTAAACTGTTCCTCGAGCAAAGTGGAGGTCAGATTCGTTGTCATCATGTTGCTGTGGTCTCCGCCTGCATCATCTTCGTAAGTGCCAGGCTACTTCTTTTTGTCATGACTGAGTAGACACCTCTGACCAAGTTCATAGGGGGAACAGGTGTCACTAGGCCCCAGATGTTGCATTCAGAAAGGGCGGCGGCAGCAGCTGGACCGACCGGTTTTAGAACGTTTGGAGGAAGTTCAATACTGCTAACCAAAGGGATCAAGTAGGGCAACGTCGTCTGGTAGAGTGCGTTCGTAGACGGCCTGTGTATGCATGTTTCTGTGCGGTTAAAAGCGAAAGTCTCGAAAGGGTTTGCTAGAGGGGCTATTCAGCTCGTCACACTCCATTCTGGCCGCATTATGCTTGCGATTTCGGTGACAGAACAAGTACTCAATTGTCTGTCTCCATACACGTGCACACGCTGCTGTTTAGCAAATGCGCGCGTCTGGGAATCGAACTACCTGTTTTTTACGAAACCCAAATTCCTTGTGCGTGGACATGGCGTGTTTGGCTCGCTCAGAAGGGTTGTCTAATGCTGCAAGCATACGGTTAGCATCCTCGACGACGGTCGGCCTGTAATACGGGCTTTCTGAGTATCGTTCGCCCCGCCTCGTGGTCTCATACTGGGAAGTACGGAATAAAGAAGAAAAGGAATAGGGCCGGAGATTGTTTCGGCAGTCAAGTCTGCTTCACAGGTGCTGCACGGAATTAGCCTGTTCGCAAGCATTTGGAAGGCCAGGTTGCGCAAGCGGCTGTTGCAATTACCGTACTTGGGCTCGGGTTCCAAGCACCGGATCTATTTTGCTCCATATTGGAGCTACAGGCGTCATGGGGATGGGTGAGTTGGTCGGCCTGCTCGTTGGCTCAAGTTCTGCGCCCTGGGGTCACCAAGTTCCGCTTGGTTCGTTCGGATCGATGGGGGAAGGATGAGTTCATCCCTAGAAGCGGTGTCGGTTACGCGGAGGTGCCCAACCAGGCATTCTACCCCCGGAGCATGTGCCCACATTGTGTACAGACATGGAGGAGTTAGCCTGCGTTAGCAGGGATACTCGGCCTTTCTGCAGACGGTGTGTAGGTATTTGCCAAGTCCACGCAGCTTGGATTCGCGCCTGCGGTGGAAACGTCCAGTATGGTTTAGCTCCTACGGCGTTGCTCTGCTGTACTACGGTCTTGGCCGCTTCTTCAGGGCACTTGTACTCAGTTAGCATCTGTCGTCCCTTAACAGATGTTTGCATGTTGTCTTCGAGGTGTCTGCTTACCGTTTTGGTTGTCGGTGAGCACTTGTAGCAGCTCTGCACCTTGTCCACACAATAATTGACCAGGATTTTAACCAATAACAGCAACAACAGGAGAAGCTAGAGGACGAGGATGACTGGGCAACCCTGCTCACGATCTGTATACCCAGGGGGAGCGAAAGCACATCTACCGGCAGGGAACCAGTCTGTTATACCGTCAAGTGGACTGGGAATCAAGGACCTGGCTGCGTTTCTTATAATGGCTTTTCGTTACTTACTCGTTGAAAAGTCCGCTCCTGTTGTAATCTGTGGCCGCGGTCGTCGACAGTTTTCGTTGAGTTAATAAATACTGCACTCCTGGTGCCACCTTCACCTTTATCTGCGAATGTCTCTGATGATGGATTCGAGTGAGAATCCGAAACGTCAGGCAAATAAACTTCTTGTCCCAGTGATCGCATCTTCATCTTCTGAAGTTTTCGTTGAGTTTTGTGTCACCAAACCGGCTGGAGCAATTTTCGGACGGCGCGCCCACGCATGGAGCGCACCACTGCTAGCTTCCCAGTTGTCAGATGTCAACCGTCCGCCATGACTTAATTTGGAAGAGGTACTGGCTGCTGATGCGCATGGACGGGACACCATTATGAAGTCCGCCCTGGTAGAATCAAGGAAAAGCAACTGAAACTCCAGGCTAAGTCCCCTAACTGGTTTTCAATTATAAGTGAAATTCCGAAATTGCTCGTGACTCCGAACTTCCAAATACAGAGGCTGTAAACTTTGTACTTGCTTCTTCAAGAAACCTTGTGTTACTTTGAGCCGTTTTCGTGTCCTCATTCTGATCTGAGATATAGGATAAGCACGCCGGATCACATTGACTGGGGTGCTAGCGTTTCGGAGAGCTTTGCCGGTACACCATTGTTAAAGCGTAAAATGCACTTGCTCTACCAGAATCCTTACCAATAAGTTCAGAAAATTCTGATGCTGATTCGTTAATTTGGTTATACGACCATATGTTCGCCGAACCAACCCGGTGGCCGATGGGGTTCACTGTAGGACGTACTTAACTGTTTGGACCGCGGTTTCACCGTCTTTTCACCGTTGGTGCTTAAGAGTTTCATGAGCGTTTCTGTTGGGTAGGCCAGCCAGAGGTGTCACTGTTGCCGACAGCCATCATGGCCATGACTGGCGTCCTTGCTCAAGGCCCCGTACCCTCAAGGTCACTCATCTTCACAGCCAACGATTCCAGACTCGCTGACCTGCAATCCGTCGACCGTCGAACGCACCCCCCTCCTGCAAACACAACACAAGCCTCATGAACAACACCCCTCGGGAAATGTAACACACCAACTGGACACCACTTGGGCTTGCCCCACGAACTTACAAAAGCAGCTGCCACCACCGTCTCACAAACTCTCAGGCATGACTGGATGCAGTCAAGGCTAGACCTAGCTTCACCAGCGGCCATCACCGCCTGAGAGGACGTCTCGGGGTTCTGCGTACAATAAACGGTAGCGGTATTGTGTAGTACCCCAGGTAGCTGGTAACTCCAACATATGCACTAAAATTCCGTGACCGCAAACTCCACAGGTTATTCGCCGTTCCTATCGGTTGAAATTTCCTTGGTTTCCTGACCGGATAGAAACTTGCCATCGGCGGTTTATTCAAAGTCCGCTACTATTCGAAAATTATTTTTTGTCTATTTTTTAAATCATCACGTTCACTTCCTTTGCCATATGACAGCATACTATAAGACTTTCGGTAGTGATTTATTTTTTTCTGTGTCTTCTTGCATTTCACCTGCCATCTGTCTTGCATGCTGTCCCACCAGTAAAAGCCCCTGAACCACAATTCAACGCATGACGAGTGATTTTGGACCCTACACCCTACTGACGCCCAATAAACCTCTCATTTTGGCGATTTCTGTCTTTTCCTAGGACTCGGGATTTTGCCTGATGATTGTAGCGCTCTGAGTACACACGCCGCTTAAACGCCACGTAACCACAGTCTTTTGGCTTCAACCATGATCTGGTGAAGTCAGAGAAGCTTGTATCGACACGGCCGGGGGATGGCTAATGAGCAACTAATTAGAGTTAAACACAGTTGATCATGAAATATCTTTTAGTTTGGACTGACTGGGTCTCATAATATCGGTATGGCCGGACGCAAGTCCTTATAACATCAAGTTATCAGACTGCTGTGAAGTGCTGTCCTAACTATTGGACCTGAATCTTCGAAGGCCGATTCTACTAGGCAGGCGGCCTCCGCGGTGAATCACGATTGGCAGACGGGAGCTTTGCTTCCTCAAACTACCTGACTACTTTTGAAGAAGTTGCAACTCTGGCCTAGATTAACAGTCGGGCAGCATAACCGGGACGAGGGAGACTAGGCTAGTGATATTGAGCTTATGCACACGTTAAAAGCCTGCATACTCCAAAATTTGGCGGAAAAGATCTGTACCTTGAATTCCTAGTCTGTGGACGTCATTTTTATGTGAACTGCCGCAAGTCAGCTGCCGGCGACAGAGCGACGTCTTATACAATTTGCCTGTTTGTTTTTGTGGGTAAGATTTTGGGAAACAGCTGCAAATGTCATTCTCGAACTTATTTACAGGACTGATGGAAGTCACATATCTCCGTCGTCTTGTTGTAAATATGAACGACTCTTTAGTCTGCCGACAGCGTTCTTTCGGGGCTCGTGAGGAAAACAGGAGATAGGGGCTGACTCGTCTACGTTAATGACATTCACCACACAAGT